TTTTTAGAACTTATTTAAAAAAAAAAAAAATTTTTTTGAGATTTTTGTAGATTTTAAAAGTTTTATTAAGTATAATTGTTAGATCTAATATAGTGTAAAATTTGTTACAGCAAGACATAAATAAAAATAATTTAGTGCACTCAAGATGAAAGTGCTGAAGGGATGTATAAATAAAACTGTGTACTCAAATGGTATTGTAATACTAAAATATTTATTGTTATGTTAAATATTTACTTGCAGAAAAAGTTTATGTAAACTTTTGTATTTTATAGTACTGAAGAGGGACCTTTTTTAGAAAAGGACCGAAATGCATCTATAGTAATAGAATAAAGTGAAATCATTGGCTAAAGCTGAGTGATAGTCTACCGCCAATATTAAAATTTACATTTTAAGTGCGGATTTGCAAAGACTTTACGATATATACACACAGTATGTGTTTTACACTTAGAGAGCAGTTGCAATACTGACATACAGGCTGGTTGGTCATCACCCTTCAAAAGGTATTGATGAGTCAGTTGAGTATGTCCGATTCTCAAACGGGTAAGGATAACCTCAGATCTCCTATCATACTGTTTATTACGTGTCCAATTTTCTATCATAGGTTTGATCTTGTGTAGTTTATTGTGGACTTTTGCATTCCACACATTTTGCCATCTCTCTGCTAGTCGTTTTTTAATGACTACCTTAAATCACCTCCTTCAATATGCATTGTATCTTCTGTTTCGATTTGATGGTTGTGTTTGAGGATGTGAGCATAGTTTTATTTGAGTATTTTTGGTAATTTTGTGAACAAGGTGGTTACTTTTATATACTTTGTCATTTTCAATTTTGGAAGCTTCTATGGCTAATGCAATTTCTAGCATCTGTTCAAAGGTTAGGTTGGTTTGTTGTAGAATTTTCTCACAAATATCGGAATCTTGTAAACCACATATAAATTGTACTCTTAACACCAGATCAGGATTTTGTACAGTCCACATTGTTACAACAACGGATTTTGTACAGTCCACATTGTTACAACTAGACTTGAAATCTGCACTTTTTGAGAGTTATTTTAACAAAGTCACATAATTTGAAATGGACTCACCATTATGTTGTACTCTGGACAAAAATTTATGTTAGGATATTTTGTTTTGGTGTTAGGTGATTTTGAAGCAACTTCATTAATTCAGCAAAGGTTCACCTAGAGGGTATTTCCAGTGCCATTAGGTTGATCAGTAGCTGATAATGCTTTGGTCCAAGACAATTGATTAATATCATTACTTTAGCTTCTTCAGTAATGGCATCTGTTCTGGTTAATCCTTTGATTTTGAAAAAGTTATCCAGTCATTGGGAATAGTTTTCAAAGGTCTCAGAAGTTTTGTCATAAGTTCCAAGAGTTAGGGCTTGTGTTTGGAGAACTTGTTGAACTGATAGTTCTTGCTTCATCTCCACCAACTAACTCTGTAGTTTCTTTGTAGAGTTGAAATTAATTCTGTAAGTTCACTTATTTTTTATATCCTTTTTATCCTCATTGCTATTTGTTTTGTCCATAAAATAAACGATTACTGATTAATGGAAGATACAATTGTTACAATAAGGAAGAGAGATTATATCTATTTCAAAGTTTTAACTAGCAAATCCAATGCTCGGGTTGGTTTTGAGTGCATTGGGTGAACAGACTAGAGGTTATAATATGTATCATTTCCCAAATATAAACTAATGGAGAGTCAGAAAATGGATGTAATAATCAAACATCAGCCCAAACAGGTTCTAAAACAAAACTACTCAGATCAAACTGGATAAAATGAACAGCAGCCTTATTTTTGAACCAGTAAAAAATTTTAACATATTAGACAAATGTTTTTGACTTTTTAATAGGCCTGCATCAGATCATTTAACTTTGTTCTATTTTAAAATGTATATGAGTTTTTCTACAAATGTTACAAAATTCAAACTTTGGAACAACAGTACAATTCAAATGTATGTTCTGAAAAAAATTAATAAATTATATTATAATATGTGTTTTTGTAAGAATATTTAAAACAAAAAGTTTACTTTGGTGTTAAAAAAAAATATAAATTTTCATTAATTAAAAACACCATTTTTCTGAGTTATCTGTGATTCATTGTAAAATGATTGCCAAGCAGTTTATATCTTCTTACAGTCTTTGAAATCACATATACACTTAACTCATATGTATACAAGTAAGGCAAGTGAACATTTAAATCCATATTCCATTCTATTGCCTAAAGATAAAGTTATTTTAACAAAGTGCTAGCATTTGAGTTTGTAATTTTTGTGCATTGTTTATACTGTAATTAAATAACACCATAAGACAGTTAGTTAGTTTTATGTTTCCTTTTGAAGTTAAAAATTAGGGTAGTTTTATTGTATTAGACCTTTAGTTTAGAAGAGTGCTAAGCATTCAAAACATTTATTAAATATTCTATTTAATGGCTTATACCTTAATTTTTAATATTGTAGTTAAGTTTCAATTTGATAATTTGAAAACATTTTGTGTGTTCATGTTATCAACTGTGCTATACAATTACAAAAGCAAATAAAATATATAATGAAATTAAAATTTATTCATTAATATTTTGGACTATCAGATGGAGAGATGATGTGAAAACCTAAGTCATATAAATCTTCTGTTTTGTTAATTGTTTTTATTTATGCTAAAGATGAGGTCACATTTAGTTAGGCAATGCAAATAGCTTTAAAATTGATGAAATTGATGTATGAACTACACAAAACATTTTTTTTAATAAAAGTCATAAATCATGACATTAAACATATAATTTTTTATTTTTACCTTGAAATAATGGACAGAATCTTTCAAAAATGGCAATTGGACCAAGGCTGGCATATTGTCCAAAAGATAATTCCATAAACATGAGAGGCAAGCCAGCTAATAACATCATACATATAAATGGAATAAGAAAAGCACCTAAAAAAGTAATTTTAATTAAAACATACAACTTGAAAAAGCCCAGTTTTGATCTAAAATTATTAAATTTATTATCATAATTTCTTGTATATAATCCACAGATTACTCATGTTTTGATGTCAACTTGAAAACAGGTGCAGCTATGCATTCTAGCAATTCTTGTGAGTTATATGCAAGAAATTACAGTAATTTATTTTTACTTAAATATATACTTACCATCATTTCATCACATTATATTGATATTTTTTAAGGAGAAAAACAATAATGTTCTTTGTAAAGATAAAACTATTATTACAGAAAATTTTTTTATAAATCTAGAAATGCTAACATTTTATATTTTACAACTTTTCTAGAAAATTTAATTTCCTACTATCAGTATTACATAAATCTCAAATGTTTCAAGTTATAGATATATTAATATCTATAGTTCATTCATAATATAATGGTTTATGAATATATAGTCTGCAAACAGTATTGTATTTATATCTAGATGATTCCCAAGTGGGCACTGCTTCTTTGGGGGCAGCAAAAGACTCAAGGTGTAATAGTGGTGTTGAAAGATCAGGAGATAAAAATTCATTTTGAAACAAATTTTGCTATTGAACTTCAATCAGATACACTGTTATAGTGTATCTTTTGGAATTCAGTAACAAAATGTTTTTTGTTTCAAAATGAATTTTTATCAGTTTTAAAATCATTTTTTGAAACATATGACTTTATGCTTAGGAGGCATCAGAATAGCACTCTTTGTAAATGAGATAAAATGCAGAAGTAATAATTATATGAATGAAGTGAACAAAACAGGACTAAGCATGCACTAAGCAAGTTGAGAAAATTATCATCTAGGCATTAATAACTAACATCTATCACTACAAACAACAAGCGCTTTCAACGAAACTATTTTCATCTTCTTCAGGTTAAAAGAACAGTTAATATCCTTCAAATTCAAATTACAGCAACGGCAAACCAGCATTGGAATAAAATCAAAATAGAACTAAATATCAAAATAAAATCAAAATAGAATAAAATCAAAATAGAACTTCTTCAGGTTAAAAGAACAGTTAATATCCTTCAAATTCAAATTACAGCAATGGCAAACCAGCATTGGAATAAAATCAAAATAGAACTAAAACGTAGAATTTAAAAGATGCGCGCTCAGTGCCGACGCGCATGAGCAATAGATTATTTTGCGAGAATGCAGAGCTAGCGACGTTGTTTTAATCTGTTGTATAAGTTGACCCACAAGGAAGGCACATCCAGCGTGGGGGTGTTGCATGGACTTAGCATGCTGGTAAACAGCACCTCCCAAATATACAAGATGTTTCTGCTATCACACTGTTTGAGTATCCCCACCTGGTCCCACCTCGGAGTGTATTGGTGTTGCAACACCAAACTTGCCAACTCAGTGTCGCATCTACCCGTACTAATAGATTGTTTGTGTTCAGAGATGCGGCAAGACAACATTCTGGATGTCGCTCCGATATACTGGGTATGAGTACC